GGCCTCTGGCTGGCCCGCTGCCAAACACAGCTCGAGGCGCGGTGTGCTACAAGCGCCGAACGCAAAACAGCTGCTTGGAGAGATTGACCTGGCAAAAACTTGGCCCGACTCGGTGTCTCTTTTTGTATTTCTGCGCGTGCGTTGTGGTAACCGACAGCTGTTTTATGCTTTTACTCACCTTTACACGTCGCATTTCTCATTTCAGACTGCAGCCGCTCAGCAGATTGCAGGTGATCCTGCAGCATGTGGTAAGAAGAGTGTTTTGTTGGGCCAAGTTGGAAGCCGTTGGGCCCCACAGCTCCCCCAAGACATGCAAAACAAAGGAGTTTAAAAATATATATATATACGCACCAATACATCTTGAGGTGGAGTGGGGAAACTTTAGTGTAAAATTCGAAGACAGACATTTCATGTTACATTATTTTGGGAACATGTAAACACACTTGTAAGCATTTACTTTACATACTTAAGATATCTAATGTTGTCATCTTTGTTAACTTCTGTATATGCAGAAAATGTCTAAGCATACAGATTCTACAGCTGAAGTGTTGTTGGAAAAGAGAGGAGGAGCAGGAATAATAACTTTGAATAGACCCAAGGCTCTCAATGCAGTAAATCTTTCTATGGTCCGACAAATCTATCCACAAATAAAGGTTAGTAGATCTTTTCTTTCCCAGCCGACACATGTACGTTATCAACTAGTAATAGTAAAATTCAGCAGCCTCCATGCAGTCAGTATGCACATATCGCAAACTATACAGCAGTGTTACCACTTGGTTGGGTGCCCAAGGCAAAGGTACAAATCGTTAGGGTACAAGGTACTGTTGGTTTCATTCCCTAAAGGACAACTTTATGGAGTCAGAGGCCTGAGGTCTACAGGCAACTAAAGTATGAGAAGTTTTGTGCATGCAAATAGTACCTTTAAATTTAATGTTATTATTTATCATATGCACACAGTCACATTTATTAGTATTTGTTGGATAGTTGCCTGCATTTTTTTTTGAAAGATTATGCATTCTTAGAAGTATATTTAAAGAAGTAATTTGCAGTGCTGAGCCTTATTTGAAAAAAGGCCATAAAGGTGGCATAATGTATGAATAACTAGTACATAGAAATCTCTCTCCTTTTATCTTAATGTCCTTGACAAAAATATAAGTATAGTTCAGGGGAAAGAAAAATCCTAAGGCAACTTGTTTTTTAATCTTTATATGGTTGCATTGCTGTTGAAGTCTCAGGTCAGATTTAGTTCAGAAAAAAGAGATCTAGCCTTTCTATGTGGCCAAAAAAATGAAAGTTTGCAGAGAGCAGGCACTGATTCTAGTCACTTTGACAAGTCCTGTCAGTAACTTGAATATTGTTTTTCGTGGCTCACATCTTAGAATCACACAGTTTTCATTATCTGGCCTGAAACATAATTAATAGATCTTCCACATCCCCAGCTTTCTGCCCCTTCATCAAGCTCCCATTTTGATTATAGGGCCCTGTTTTAAGGAGGCCAGCATTTCATCAGGGATTGGGAATGCCACATAGGCATTCTTCTGAAACACGAGGCAGCTCTGCTGATCCGTGATGTGGAGGTTGAATAGCAGTAATGAAACCCAAGCGTAAGTCAAATTCCCAAACATGTATGTTGCAAACTAGTTTATCACTGAAGTTGAAGCATGGGGCAAGCTGCTCTTTTGAAGAGGTGAAAGAATTATAGGCAGTATATGGAGAAAGAATTTGTTGCACAGATTTGGATCCTAGGTGTTTTGTTTCCTTATAGACATGGGAGCAAGATCCTGAAACTTTTCTAATAGTTATAAAGGGAACTGGAGGAAAAGCTTTTTGTGCTGGAGGTGACATCAGAGGTAAGGACTGTTATCCTCAGAGTATTTGACACAGGTTTCCCAGTTACCAATTTAGAATTGATTTCCTTTATTTAGTGATTCAGGTGCACAGCAGTAAGATATTAGTTACACTGGCTTGTCACACCTTGATGTGCAGATTTAGTTACTAGTCTGAGGCAGCAGGTAGAATATAGTATACAAAAGCAAAGATTGATTTGTTAATGAATAGCTGGGTAGTGGGAAGCAGCCATCCCAGGAAAGAACAGAATCTTGCCTCTACTTTACCATCACAGATTTTCATTACTGACAGCTTTTTTGCATGCAGTTTGGTGAGTTTCAATAGGCAGCTCTACTCCTATTGAATAATGTGTATATCTGATGTTTAACTGTTCAGATACAGAGCTGACTACAGTGATCCATGGATTCACGGTTATTCTGTAGCTCTGAGCTGTAGTAAATCTCCAAACTTTGGAAGTGAACAGTTTTAAATCCTAGGCAAACAAATAGCAGAGGTATGTGACAACCCCCAGCATGATGATAATGACTCAGATTTGGAATTTTGCTGTCATTTTTGATTAAATAATTTACTCACATAGAATACATTAGGATAAAGTTAGTGTTTGACTGCCATAGGGAAAAAATGTTACCAGGCTATATTGATTTTCATACTTTTAAAAATATTTTATCCTAAGTTTACTATTATCTTTAGAATTTTAATTTAGCCATCTTATACATATCTTATCAACTTATCTTATACATTCTTAGCCATCACGGATGCAGGAAAATTTGCAAGTAGTCTGGCACAAGATTTCTTCAGAGAAGAATATACCCTGAACTATGCTGTTGGTAGGTTTAATAAATTGTTGCCCCATAACAGTGGCTCTGTGTGCAAATCCACTTTCTTGCTAATTATGAAAGACCAAGAATATTGAAACAGGAGTAGTGGTTTTTTTGACCAAGTTCAACACTAGGATTGTAACCTCATTCCTGTACCTTGCATGCAGTGTTTGTTTCTTGTGTTTAGGTACTTCATCTCATCCCAGGGTTCTTGGTAGGTATATTTGTGTTATGGCTGAATTAAGTCTTAGATACAGACAATACACTTGTGCCCCAAGTATTGTCGATCCACTTGAAGAGAAAAAAAATAGAGAGTCCACTCTATACATGGCACAGGTATTACTGTATACATGACACTATGTTAGTCACAGTCCACTTCCCAAAAATGTGCAATCATTTGTATTTCTTCTAGGCACTTGCAAGAAGCCATATGTGGCACTTATTGATGGCATTACAATGGGAGGGGTAAGTAAAATACCCCAGTGTGGTATGTGATATCAGTTGTCTTAATGTATTATTCTGTATTCAAGTTGAATAAAGTGTGCACATCATATTTCAGACATTAAATTTGATAATAAACATCTTAACCTGAACTTTGTCTCTGTAGCTTAGAGTAGATAGCTGCTCTTTTACTGCTTCTGCTGGTTTTTTGATAGCTTTCACAGCTATTGCCAGATCCTCAGAGGAAGCAGTCTGGAGAAAAACAGCAGGATCCTGTCACTTCAGCAAATGGCATTCAGAGAGTTTTTGGAAGACTTAAACAGCAGCTTTTAGATGATAAAGAGCTGACAATGATTTTGCATTCAAAGTATATACAAAATTAGAACTATAATAGTGCAAGTAAGGGTGAGTCTGAAGACTGGAAAAATCTCATTCTAAGCTATAGTTTGGCAGAAGTTCAATTTTGATAAGATGTTCAAAACATGAATTTATGCTTTTCCATCAAATGGTCTGGAAACGCATCTGTCTCACCTGGACAGTACTCAGAGCACAGTAAGAAAATCCTTCCACTCCCTGCCCCAGGCCACAGTTTATTTCTAAAGATATGACTAAAGAAAAGCCCATTACAGACCCAATTACATTGGTAAACATCAGTACTATGCTTTTCTTCATACTGACATGTTACTTGTTCTCTTTGGTTTGACATCTGTTGGATATATTTATATCATAGCAGGGGATCATATATGACACAATCATTCTGAGATATTCTGAGCAATGAGTTTGACTGCAAAGTCTGTTTGCCTTCCATATTGTTGCTGAATTTTATGGGTGATCATAAGTATTCCTACACTGCCAATTAGGGCTGCTTCAAAACTGCTCTTAAAAAGGTACTCTCCTCTCACCACTGAAAGCAAGGATATAAAGGAACTGTTTAATCCAGAGCAACAACAGTTATGGTGAAAAACTGCTTAAATACTTATCCTGTCAGCTTACTCAGCAAGAAGAGTTTTTAGATATGTCTTTGGTTTGAACATACTTGCTTATGATATAAAGTTGAGGGTATTTATCACCAGACTTGCACAGCCTGAATATGAATGAAACCCTTATTTCTGAACTAGGGAATTTGAAACATGACATAGATGTTAAAATGTTACATAGATAACTCAGAAATGTAGAGGACCTTCCACTATACAAAATACTAGTATTTTATATTTCAGTTACATCAGTCTATAGCAGTATTTCCACAGAGGTATTTTGCTTTCTTTTGCACTTTCTGAAAGGACAAATATGCAACAAGCACTGTCTCCAAAGCCTCTGTGTTTCAGCAGTCATTAAATGCTGCCATTTAGAGAGAAAGCATGCCGCATCCACGCTTGCCTTGCTCGCTTTTTGCCTGGATCTGATAGGCAGGGTTTTGTTCTGTGTTGCGCTTAAAACATTGCACTGCTGTCAAGGCCTCAGGCTGAGGCTACTGTTGTCTTTCATGTCAGTGCAATATGAGCACGTAGTCTATTCACTTCAGGTTCCTCTAGGGCAGGAATGAAAGCAACTGAGCACTATGTGGCCATTCACTTGTGACCATTCCCTTTCCCTATTCCCTTGTTTATCATTTCATCCATTTTGGCTATAAGCTTTTCATCTTGTGATCAAAACATTGGGCAACAACTCTCTTCCCTTTGCTTCTCCCTAACCAAGCCCCAGAGATCTCAGCTAGATAGCCTTCTTCCCCTGCACCAAACCAGTGTGCACAATTACTCATTTCCAGCACAAAGGGACTAGTCTTACAGTTCTTTTTGCAGTAAAGGCCTTTATCAGAGATATGAACCCTGGAGATTTGTGGATAAGAGATAGGGAGTCCATTTATTGTGTATTGAATAATGGCCTTAGTAGCTGTGGAAGACCAAAACCGCCTGAAAGCTGATGTATTTTTTAAAGGCTGCATAGATGGTGCATTATAATTGTGGCCTAGGAAGGAATAGAAATTTGTCCTTTGAAAGTATTAGTTTTAGATTAGAGAAAAAAAAAAAAAAAAAAAGCATAGTGGGTCAGATGATCATGCCAGCGCTAAGGCTGTGAATTGCCTTTCTTTTAAGGGGAGCTTGAAGTTTTTAAAAAGACAGCAATATGAAATATTAGTATAAGGCACTCAAATCTGCATTTCACTGAATCCCTTCTAGACTTCAGCTGCAATTAGGATTTGAATGACAACCTGCTTGCTTGTCCTCAGTTTGGTGCAGTTGTCCTCATTCAGGGAGGCAAGTAGATTTTGACTGAGCAAGTATAAATTTAGGGGAAGCAGCACCCAAGTCTTGAGTTGCAGACAACCTAATTCTTTAATAGATGATCAAGTGCTCTTTAATTCAGACTTGTAACACCTAAGTTCACTCTTAGGATGATGCCCTATGTACAGCAGGGCATACTTTCAACCAGTATACATATTTTCACGTGCAATACATGAAAGCATAGACTTTGAACTTGCTAGTCATACTGTCACCTTGTCCTGCTTGCCAGGAGTATATACCCTATCCCATTGAAATTATCCAGTAGAATATAATCCAAATATACAGTATATACAAATACCCAATAGCGCAATTATCCAGCACTAATATGGAATCATTTTATTTATAGTACTATTAGATGCTTTCTTTTAAGCTTCTTATGTCTAGATCACAGTCTTATTCCCCAGAAGAGGAAGCATGAGCACTGCTTAAAAATAGAGATACTCCTCTACAGCTCTACACATATAGAGTGCACTGTTGTTTCGATTTGAAATCAATTAGAAGTCAAATAGCATAATAGAAACTCAGTTATGTGTTTAGGTAGTAAATACACAAGTATCTTAGGTTTTGATGGCAAAACTTGGACCAAGAAGTGAACTAATTTTGTTTCAGTATTTTTGCCTAGAGGTTGAGATGGCTTTCTTGAGAACTTAATTAGCCAATAGATGGGGTTGTGGAGCTTGTTCTCCACAGATGCTGTTCTGATAACTCATCAAAACTTGAAGAACTATGTAGATGTGTTGTTCTCCCCATCTTTTTATTCAGCTTCATGGCAATAGGATCAAGCAACAAGACTATCTGCTTCAGCAAATATGATGTCCTGTCATACTACTCTGATGTTACACTTTTTAAGTATTAGTGCTTTGAGTTTTAGGGTGAGAAAATGTCTTTCAGGAGTGCAAATAGATTTAAAGTAATACTGAGATTGTTGTGTTACATTTTCAGTACAGAAAGTGTTAGGTACAGTTACCAGCTCTCTTAGGTCCTCTAGACAGACCTATTGTTAACATTACTCTTCTCATCTTCACATTTTCCTAAATTTCCTTCCAAATAATAGGAAGCTTGCAAGTTGCTTGTAATTCATAATTTAGAAAGATAATATTCTCCTAACCTTACTGCTAATTGGGTCTTCAAGTTCATCAGTGGCTTCCTATTAGTTTAAGGCATTTAAATTTAACACACTTAGTAATACAGTTCCTTAGGGAAAAGCTTTTACTTGAATTGGGAGTCTGTCTCCAAGTTAGAGTATCCCTAAGGTGGCAGTGAGAACTATTTAAAATACTAGTTGGGATAGTACCACTCGAGTGACCTATGAAGACCGGTGTGTTCAGCTGTGGGCTGTACAGAAGCCTAGAGCTGAAAGGAATATCCAGATTATTCTTCTACCTTTCCAGGGGGATTAAATACAGGTAGATGAGCTCTAGCAAGTTTTCACCTAATCTGTTCTCAGAACTCCCCCACATCAGGCTTTGCACTGTCTCTGGGTATCCTGCTCCAGTGCCTAAATCTTCTTAGAAGTTAAAATTCCCTAATAGCTGATCTAAGGCATTAGCATGTGTGCTCAGTATACTCTTGTCTTAGTCATGGCCCAGTAAGAATATTTTGAAATACTTAGTTCTTTTCTTCTACCTGTCTCTTTTTAACAGGAACAAGGCTAGTTATTCAGCCTTTTAACATAGGTTATATTTCAGTCTCTTGGCCTTCTTCTAATCTTCTGAACTCCCTCCATTTGTGTACTTTACAGTTCATTACCAGCAACCAGACATTTTTTCAGGTAGGGCCCCATCAGCACCAAGCAGAGCAGAATGACAATCTCCACAGTCCTAGCACCATACACTGCAGCTCATGGGAACAGCAGCCTCTCAAAATATCTACTGCTGTGAAGCCACCTCTTTTGGGTAGTCTTAAACCTGCTACTTTTGCCTCTTCCTCCTTGCATCACAAAAACTTTTAATCACAATACATTTCACCACTTACCTTGTTCCACTTCTCAGTCCTTTTTCCTTAAACAGACCTTGGATGCCAAGGAATCATCATGCTGAGCAACCCTTTTTAACAGGTATCACAAGGAGAAACTAACACCTAGTTCCTGCAGAAACCCTAGTCCTGGCTTGGGTGTTGCCTTTTACAGGTGCAGCAGATCAGGCTGATGTTTCCCAGATGTACAGCATCTTGGCTGAGGGGGTGCCTTTCACTCCGTTTATGCCCATTGGTAGAGACTCTGCTGTTTCACAATGTCTCAAGTAGCTCTTTTGCAACAGCATCACATGATTAAACTGATTTAAAATCAGGGTTGCTATAACCCCTGAAAATGTCTACTCATTTGTCCCATTGAAAATGTATTTGTAATCTGTGTTTGATTTGTTTTCTCAGTTTCTGTTTTTTTTTTGCATGCTTTTTCCGAAGTGAGATGGTTTTAAAATCTGATCTAGTCCTTCAAAGTATTTGCCTTCCAAAAATGTAATCTAGAAAGTATATAAATCCTTATCATGCCATCATCCAGGTAGCTAGTGAAGTTACCAAATAAAAATCTGTTAATGATTGGCTTCTATGTGATCTCAACTGAGATACCCTCTTTGAATACATTCTCAGGTGATTGTGCCCTCCATTTCTTAGTGATACCATCTAGGCTCTGTTCCTTTAGTTTGCCTGTGAGAACAAATTATCCTGCATATGGGGAAGCATCAGAAAATTTGCGGTCTGGGGTTTGAAGCATTTTCAGAGTGCCATTTTTATTGCGTGATAAGATTTTAATTTAAGTCATAGGATTGTTTAGAGGTTCCAGAGAATAAGAGACAGACAAACTTCAGGACATGCTCTTACAATTTTGCCATGAATTGAGAAAAAACTTGTCCTGTACATCTGCCCGTCCACCCTTTCTGAAACAAAGATCAAAAATTACTCCTTTTTTCTGTGTATGTCCTAGCAGAAAGAGTGAATTGAGTACCTAATATTTAGCTCTTTTTTCCTGTGTTGGTTTCATGGGATTTGATCAGCAAAAGATTAAAGTAGCTTATATAGATTTTCATTGGAAATAGCCAGATGTCATCTAGTTTTTTATGGAGAAATTTGCTTAGCTTAAGTTTGTATCTTTGCTCCATAATTATTCTCTGGCATCAGCTGAAGTCCATTTGTCTTTGCGAGGACTTCAGAAGAATTTCATTTGGGGAAGAGTAATATCTACTTACCTTGCAGCTCTTAAGTAAATGTTTATTTGCAAATTAGGTGTCTTCTGATATTACTTAAGCACATAAATACAACAGGAGAAACAATAAACAAAGCTCCCCCACCTCTCCCTATGTCTTGATGTATTTTTTCTTTTTTTTTTTTTTTTTGCATTTGCTTTAGAATGTATCAATTTAATTAATGTATGTACAGCTTTTATACAGAGGCAGAGAGTTTGAGATAAATTCAAAATAAGAAAACTTCAGAAGGAACCATATTTGGAAAAATCTCCTTTTTTTCGCTCACTTATAATGGATTTTTTGATTAGAACAGTGTGCTTTCATAAAGTCCATAGGTGGATATTACTCACAGATGAAACAGCTCCTCATTTATTGTGCACAAACAATAACTGCACCTTATTTTACATTTACTTACTAATTATTATTAATAATATACATTGCAAGGTTTCAATGAACTTCTTTGAGTGGCTTAAAGCTATAGCACCTAAATGTTCATGAAAAATAATTACTTTCCTTAGCATAGCACTTTTATCCCGTAATGGCCATTATTCTTTTAACCCTCGTTATGGCTAGGAAACTGGAATTTGTAGATGGTACTGTGAAATACACCACTGCTCCTTGGCCCGATTCACCTTTTCCTTCCTTTCTTATTAAATACCCCATTCATTTGTTTCAGTCATCACTCACTGAAGCTCAAACATCCTTGGTTTTGTTTTAATTTAAGCTCTAAACTCTGCCCTGGCGCAAAAGTAATTGTCCAACTAAATCTAGATAAGCTGCTTAGTGATTCTCTGCCTCCCTTTCCCCCTCCTCTCCCTGACTCCTCTCCAGACTCATGCCTGTATGCTGTACAGATCTGTGTCTCAAAGCTGCAGGAAGCTTGTACCATAAAGATAAATTCAAATTTTGGGAATAGTTTTCTGTCGTCAATCTTTGTTAGGCTGGCTTGTGCACCACTTTGCTTTTGTAATGCAGAGTGTTGAAAACTGTGGAAGCAAGTCAGAAAAAAAGGATTCACTCTCTACTGATCTTGCAGCGTAGTCACCATCTGGCATGTTGGGCTGCCTGCTAAGCTCCTGCATATGATGCTCTGGACAAATAGAGCACTTCATTTTGTAGTTAATCGGACTATAATATAAACAGCTCTTAACATCTATTAAAAAAAAAGTACTAAACATTCCAGGATTTGTGTGTGATGTTTTCCCCAAAGAGCTCCTTGTAAGCACTGTCTTGAAAATAAGTATGTTAAAGTAGAGGTTTGACAACTGATCTGGTAAAGTAAGTAAAACTCCTCTCCCTCTATAACCTTCTCCCTTCAGAAGCTACAGTGACTGTTGTTTTTGATGTGCAATATAAGAAGGAACGGGTAGCACTTTTTCCACCTAGGAAAGAAAGATAGACTTCCTGCACATAAATCACACAGGTGTTGGTGTTATATAATGGTACTGCACTTCAGTGTACTAGAGTCAGAGATTACATGTGCTTTACGTTCCTGCACAAAGCAACGAGAAGGAGAGAGAGAGAGACACCACCTAATAGAGCAAATGTCAATTGTCTGCTCAGAGGGAAGTCAGGGTTTAAGCTCTGCTCTCTAGATTATTATTTTTTGTGAAGTTTATATGTATTCAAGAGGTTTTACTTGCGACTTCATGGAAGGCCTCTACCCCTGCAGAGTTGAGCATGGTTGCAGAGGTCGTGTGGGCTTTGTTGCAGCTTTTTCCTTTCTAACACCAAATTCTTTCTTGCTAAGAGTCCCACTGTTTCTCTCCAATTCTGTGCCTCTGTGTAGATGTCTCATCTCGTTATTTCCCTCTTTATTAGAGATCAAGGAAAAATAGTTCTGAATTATCTTTGCCTCCATCTTCTCATATTCCTGTTAATTTTTCTCATTTCTAGGAGAATGTGAATGCTTATTTTCTCCTTGGATTTTAATATTTATCTGCCTCCTTTCTTTTCATGCATTCTTTTCCCTAAGAAATAAGATACCACTACAGAATCTCCTCAGTTTACCCTCATCATTTCAAATAACTATGTCCCTGTTTAAATACTGTTCTCTGGCATGTATCTGTTTTTAAGAGCAAGATTTTTCTCTTCAGTTGTCAGAGAAAAAACATAAAAACCTAGGTATGTGTTGATGCACCTTGCTGAAACCTTTGCCCTTGCCAGTCCTCCCTGTGCTCATTATGATGTGGTGAGATGTACATATGTACTTTACCCGTGGTAGCTGAATTTTTAGGTGATACTGGGGGGCAGAGAGCCAGAGCTGGTGTCCCAGAATTTAATTTTCCTGTCCATTAACATTTTGAAAGGCAGCAAATGCATCATACAATAAATTGCAGAGACCGGTCCAGATTGTTTTGAGAATTTGATTGTATACATTGTATTGTTGATCTGATCATGTCTAAAATAGTACTGGAATGGAGAAAAAAAAGTATCCTGGTTACTATCTTTTTCTTAGCATACATGACCAGTAAAAATATCATATTTATATAAAAATAGAAAAATAACATATTAGAAATAGAAAAATAACATATAACCAGAAAAATAACATATTTATATAAAGCAGCTTCTGGTGAAATGTTCACTAGAGAGTGTTTGTAAGCAGGTAGGATCTAGCAGACACTTTCTGTTAATGTGTATCATGATGAAAAGCTCTGAGGAGTGAGGCTGTTTTTTCCCATATGTCGCAGTTGTGCCCAGTAATCCGAATAATCTTGGCCAAAGTGATCTAAGTAACAGTGATTTTGTCAGATAACTGTTTCTCTTTAGTTTGCCTATTGAACAACTGTTGAAAGAAATAAAAAAAATTTTTTTTTCGGTCCTTGCTACTGTTAGGCCCTTGTTACTGTTACTCTTAAAGTGCTGAATTCTGTTTTAACCAACTCCATGTGAAGTGTTATTAGTGTTTGAGCCATAAACCATAAATTTTTAAACTTTTAATCTATTTTGAGAAGTGTGCATGGTAAGTCTATTATTATTTAATTTCGTAGTGAAACAGTCGGTGTAGTTTTTATGGTTATGATTATTTTTACTAACAATTTTGACAGTTTCCTTGGCTTGTGCTCCTCTCGTAGGGAGTTGGCCTCTCAGTTCATGGACATTTCCGAGTTGCTACGGAAAAGACAGTCTTTGCAATGCCAGAAACAGCAATAGGCAAGTATGCAGCATATCACCCCATATTAAAATGTTTCAGGTTTCATTGGTCATTTAATTGGGATAAAATGTGTTTGACTGAAAGAAGTGGAGGAAATGAAGTATTTTAAAATGGAATTGAAGATAGCCATATATTAAAGATTTTCCACTCATACATATTGTCAACTCATTTCAATACAAGACAAATTAACTGTACTGTAAGCTGATATGCAACATTAAGGAGACAAACTCTGACACATTACAACTTTACAGACTGTGTGCAAGCAAGATCAGTTTTCTCTCTCCCCCTTTTTTTGTTTTTTTAACCAGCCGCATTTACCTTGCACATTCTGATGTTTGATCCTAAAACTCCTTTGTCAGCTCTTAAAGATGTGATAGAAAAAATTATGTCTCTGAGTTGTATGTAGTGCTATATCTCAAGAAAAGAAATTAGAGCAGCTTCCTGCTAGCTGCTAGTGTGCTGTGAATTTTCTGAACAATTAAGTTTAGGATGAGGAAAAAATGAGACTACATGAATTTGCTAAACTCATGACATTTCTAATCAGCTGTTTTACAGGAAAAGTGAAACTGAGGCTTTTTAAACGTAAACACAAATTTTCACATGTAAAATTATTCTAACAATAAAGGCATCTTTGTTTACTTGTTGAAGTGTAAAGACATGGATAATCCTATGTTACCAAAGATGATGCATTTTACATATGTTGCTTATGTTTACAGGGACTTGTTTAAGCAAAAGTAAACCGTGAAGATGTCTAGAGGAAAAGCTCAGAACTTGCTTAGGGAAAAAAGTAATCAAACCCTTTTAGGTTTAGTTTAGAAGCCAAACTATTGAAATCTGTCTGGATTTGAGGGCTTAGCTGTGTTTTTTTCTCCATGATAACACGTTTAAAACATCTAGCTGTCTAGATATTGTAATAATAGATCTTTTTCGTATATGCACTTATTTAGTAGGCATCATAGCTCTCTTGTGAAAACAATACATTCATTTAGCTTATGTGTTTTCATGCAGTTAATTATACACTTATACTCCACCATATAAAATGATGTATGTATGCCACTGTGCATATAAAAATGGAAGACAAAGTTCCCATTTGTAGAAGTTTAAAACTGACATAGATGAGATAAAACATAGGAAAGCAGCTCACTTGTCGGAGATGTGAAAAACCCAGGGTTTAGAAGGCCAAAATCCAGAATTATATTACAAGAAGTGCACTGTGAAGTGCAGTTATAATAATAATCGTCACTTTTAGTATAATCCTCTAGCCTTTCAGGTTTCCATAAGTCATTTACTAACATATCTCCAGCTACAACTGCAAGGTAAAGTAGAAATATAGCAGTAGTACCTTTATCTTAGCGTTGGTAATGGCAGAAACAGTTTTACATTTGGGACTGTAGTGAAGCTGATCCCATCTGTCACAGAATTGAGACACAAGTCATCATTCCAGACACAGCTTTTAAGCTTGATCAATCCAACAGACATATAGCTCTTACTTAAGTGAGGGATTTGAGAAGTTCTTGGTGAACGCTGCCAAAAGGAAACATTTTCAAGTAGGTGATAAGAGAAAGATGAAAAGGAAAAAAACAAACAGGTAGCAAGCAGCAAAATGTGGGAAGCGGTACTGACAGGTTCATGAGGAATTTATGGAACAGGGACAGGAAGAGAGTGAGTAAGGAAGAATGGAAGCTTTAGTGGACTTATGCAAGAGAGTGAGTTTAAAGTGCATTAGCTGCATCTTCACTTACCTTACTTGTAAAATTCTTACAATTTAAAGAGATTAAATTTAGTTTTATTCACCTCTAGATCCGGTTAATCAGCTTTATGTAGAAACTGTTTTCTTGAGTCTTGCCCTGTGGAAGGACTCTGTAAAATACCAACATGAAGATTGCTGTTTGGAATCTGAGGGACCTTTTTGGAGGATAGGGAGAGAAGTACTGCAGCATCAGTATTTTAATTACTGCAAAGAAAAGGTTGTTAAGATTGCAGTCTGACTGGACAGGGAAAGTAATGTAATCATCATTTTTGCTTTGGAGAGCACTGGTAAGAGAAATTTCATTTTGAAATGAGAGGATCTATTGCAGGAGTAGGAAATCCAGGAGGAGGCATGAATAGAAACATAAAATTAAATGGCAGTCTTGGCAACAACATATTTATGATGGCTCAAACTGAGATGGAGAAATATGGAGTAAACTGTTCGGCAAGTGACTACAGATGAAAAAGAGGGTAAGTGATGAGCTGATCTAATGCAGCTTAGAGCTTTTGAAAGGTGCTAACAAGACTTCAGCATTTTAGAAGAGCTGCATGCCTCAGCAGTCTATGAAATTAGGAATAAATCAGTTAATGGCAACACACATCGGTTGGAATGAGAATAGCGTAATACAGTGATAACTGGTAGGAAGGGGCTCCTAAAAACAATTTTATAGTGTATGAGAGGCAGCAGAACTTAGGAAAGATTAAAAGGGAGCCAGAGGAGGGGCTGAGAGGAGACTGAGAACATACAGCAGTGAGGAACCTGTATGGGCTATGGAGAGGAAGAAGACACTGAAGAGGAGCTCTTTTAAGGATACTTTTCCTTGATTATGTCCAAAAGAGAGGAATATTCAGAGGACACTCATTACTCCCATCTTAAAACCTTTTCATGTGCATAACACGTACAATGAGTCTTGTGATCTAAGCCAAGTGAAATATTGCTGGTCCATTAATGAACTCTCAGACTAATTTTTTGTTCAAGCTTTCTCTGCAAGAGGTAGGTATGATTTCAATATTTGAGGATATCATCATAAGAGATTTTAGAGAAAAAGCAACTGCCAGTTTGAATTTGCAAAAATTACTTCACAATTCTTTGTGTCAGTTCTGTTTGGTGGGAGCATGCATGTATTCTTCAGACACCTAAAAAAGTTTCTGGAAAAGGTTAGAGGCAAATGAAATGAACATTGTTGTCTGGTATACGTTGGTAACGTGCTAATGGAAAGGATAAAATTTGAAAGGTGTTTTTACAATAGTTCGCTTTTAGGAAGAGTTTAGATGGTGGAAAAATGTCAAACTAAGTCAAGGAGAAACATCATACAACATTCATGCATAAGTCATGCAGACAAAAGTGAGCCAGGAATAAATTGTTACTGAGTTATAGTTATGATTAGGATAATAGGTTTTCCCTTCATTTGTTTTTTGTTTTGTTTGTTACAGGCCTTTTTCCTGATGTAGGTGGAGGATATTTCTTGCCAAGACTTGCAGGAAAGATTGGCTATTTCCTTGCACTAACAGGATTTAGGCTAAAAGGAAGAGATGTGCAAAAAGCAGGCATTGCTACCCATTTTGTAGAATCAGCAAAGGTAAACAGCTAGCCCGTGCGAGCCGGGGCAGCTACCGCGGGGACACGCTGAGTTGTTTCAGCACATTTGCAGTGTGCACTTACCAGCAGTGCCAGCTCGTGCAGTTGCCAGGCTCTTGCTGCTCTTTTCTTGGGTTTTTTTTGGCTGTCATAGGCTGGCTTCACCTGCTTGGGCTGTAGCCTGTTGGCAAGCAGAGTTCTCTGCTGTTCGCTGCAGGCATCATTAAATCAGATGTTTTAATCTGATGCCTCTTTAAATCTGGCTGAAAGTTGTGTTTTTTTTTTTTTTGTGTAGCAGTTCTGTACAGTTATAGTATGTATATATATGTCTTTGTTTATACGTATATATATATATGTAGTAGTAAAATATAGTAAGAATAATCCAAGAAGTACATTTGCTTTTACCTATTTTGCTTATTTTTAACAGCTTCCTGCCTTAGAAGAAGACTTGATTGCACTTAAATCTCCTTCAAAAGAAAGTATTGCAGACTTACTGGACTCTTACCATGCGAAGGTAATCTGGTTAATTACTGTCCCAAAATTAAATCAAGGAAAATTGTTAATTAAACATGTGTAAATGCTAATTCTTTTTTTTCATGCTACTGATCTTTGTTTTCTGGTTACAAAAGTAATGGATTTACACGCTATCCAGACTCTATTTGTAGCACTAGTGCCTACAGTGTCAAAATAAAACATAAAGGCCTATTTTTTTCTTTACTTTCTACCTTTTATTCATTTTGAACTCACCAAACCTCTTTCTTTTTCTGTGCCTGATTTTTAAATGAAAATGTTTACTCACTTTATTTCTGTTTTAGAATTACTAAGTTCTGATATGAAGATAAATTAGAAAAATAAATTTTTATGAAAGCTATTTTACATAGAAATTGCATACATAATTTACATGGTACTGATCATTTTGACAAAATGGAAAGTTACAAAATAGAATGGATTATAAATTGCACTATAGTGCTTTACAGGATGACATTTAGTGGAAAAGGACGTTGCATATTTTTGATTATTAGAGCTGGAATAAGAGGGAACCTATTTCTCATCTGCAGTTGCTGCTAACAAAACATCTGTTTATGTCCTAAACCCTTTAATGCAGCAGGGCTAAACATTTGTCACACTTTCTACTTAAATCCATCAAATCTTTCAGTCTCTTTAGCTGTCCATCAATATCAGGAGCCAGTGCAAACTGGTTATTACAAAATTGTTATGTACTTCATGGCACTGTGTGTGTCATTTAGCTGTAAGAGCAAATTCTGCATTAGTATTAAGTGAAACTGAAAGGAGAAATAAGTGTGAATCAAAATTAGGCTCTTGAAATTAATATATAAATCAAAAAAAGGAGGAAAGCACAAAAATAGGAAATATCTCTAAGAATATGATTCTAAACTAAAAGCAAATAATCTAGAAAACTACATAGAATTTTATAAAGGGGTGAGAGAAAAGTGGAAGAGATGCACATTCTTTCTGTTCTGTCCTTTCTTTTCCACTGTGTATAAAACTACTGTAATAAAGAAAAGTATATATATATATTCTGAATTGGAAGTTATTACCCTTGCTTTTAAATTATCAGGTTTTCTGGGATTTATCCACATCAGCTTTCTCAGTGGATCTGATGCAGAGCTCGATAGGACAGTTGTGGTTTATGCACAAAGCACCGCTCGGTTGCACACCCCGTCCCGCTCAAAAGCAGCGCTGCATCATGACACGACACCTTTAACATTCAAACCACATGCTGTAAAACTGAGTATCACTAAAAACGGTGGTCTAGAGAACATCCAGCGATCTACCTGTGATATTTCTGCAAATCACTGAAATTGTTCAGTGCTGACCTTTCAGATGGTCAAAAATAACAAAGTAAAATACATGTTTGTTTTTTAAATAGAGCAAAATTGATCAAGAAAAGGAGTTTGTACTTGATGAACACATGGAGAAGATTAACAGGTATTCTGGATTTTTCCTTCTTTTTTTTCCTCTTTTGGAGGGAAAATGTCAAGTTAAATCCAGTAATAATACCAGCACCCAAAAGATAAGTTGGTTCAAACGTAGTCCTTTAAACATTTCTTTTTAGGTTGCTTTACTTGAAACTCATTAGATTTTATACTTATTGTGGTATTAAATAATTCATCATTTTGCCTGATTCTTATAAGCCATCATTCTTAGAAGCAACTTATATTATTCTTATTTGCCATCATTCTTATAAGCAACTGCCCTATTACGCATTAAAACAATCATTTTCTCTGGAAACTGGACAGAGGATTTTGTGAGACTAACTGTTCAGTTGGCCAGGAAATATTGTATAGCACATTTGTGCTCGTTGGCCTGAGGCCATCTCTGTGATTAGTTTGGGTCTGATGTGTGTCATGAGAAGCTGAACTCATGAAGAGCAGCAGTAACAAGGGGGGAAAGGCACAGACATCAAACCAGTAAAGTGAAGCTAATGGCATGTTACAAAACATAGATAAAACACATGGCAGTAATTAAAGATTTGGGATAAATATCAGAACTTGTAAGTAAGATATCTTAAAATGTTAGAGATTTCTAAATAGAACATGCCTGTCAGTTAAGTTGCTTAAAATTGAACAGCAGAGTATATTGCTGAGAGCAAAGCAAATAATCTGTCTAACTCTCCATTTCACATCTCTGTAAGTTACCAGCATTTCATATGGAAGAGTAAGATAGAAGCAATTCATTGGATTATCGATATAAGATTTCTTTCTTTTTGTTTTAGTCTTTTTTCAGCAGGTACCATGGAAGAAATAGTTCAAAGATTGAAACAAGACGGTTCTGCTTTTGCCATTAAGCAGCTAGAGGTAATATATTTCTTATTTTTGTTATACATGTGAAACCACAGAAGGCAAATGCTATCATGCATTGAATAAAATTGCAGTCTGCTGAATGGGAAAAAGATTCTTTTTATAGCTTCTCATTTTATTGTCTGTGGGTTAGAATAAAAACAGGAAAAAAAACAAACTTCCAGGAAAATGTTGTTGGTTTTTCCCCCTCAGAAATCTCTTTTGAGTAAATAGCAAGCAGTTTATCATGAGGATAAATGTTTTTGGATTTTGCTTTTTTTGGTTTTTTTTTGAACTGCCTTTAATGTGCCAAAGACTGGCAGTATCCACTGCTCACAAAAATATGGAAATACTGCAGTAATTCAGCTGTGCGCTTCAGCCTTATTACTGAAGCAAAAGGCAACTTTTGGTCAAAGACATTTATAGAAAACATTTTTATTTTCTCTTCTTTTGAAGTATTCGCACTCAGCTGGCTTATATTTGTTTGGCTTGGGGCCATTCAAACATTATTTACAATCATACAGAATTCAAGCATTTAAATTTAACTTTGAAGAACTTGCGGAAGAAAAATCCTGCTCTTGTACTAAATTCCTGTCACTTTTTCCCTGTGTTACAGATGGCAGGAAGATAGTTACATGAACTTATGCGAGATGGTTTGATAGTGTGCAAGTGGCAGTCCTATAGGCTGGCTCTCCTCTCTTTATAATATTGCATTAGAAGATAGTATTTTATTTTTAGATATCAGTTGTAGATTTTGTAATATCCTTGCAGAATGTTGTTTTTCTTTATGTTGATTAGCTTTAGTAGAAATCGCAAAGAATAATTATTTGCAGATAGCTTTTCCCAGGTTAATATTTTACAGTTTTATGGCACTGTAAATCAGACATAATAGATCTGTTTTCAATGGAGCGTGGTCTATAAAGGATAGTTTGTGTGTTCAAAATACAGTTTCTATTACAGCAAAAGCTGTCATAATCCTTTGGTATGTAAGTACGATGCCTGGAGGGTTTGCCCTGCCGTGATTGCTCCAGGCAGCCCAGTGGAGAGGCACAAGACGTGGTCTGCACATCACGGCGCTTTCCTGCAGCTTCCTGGCAGGACAGGGCACCCCCTGAGCACAACGTTGCAGAAGGCTGCTCTAACAGGGCAGCGAAAGACTGGTGTCCCTCTCCTTAAACAACTCACCTGCAGCACCTTGGCTAGATGCTCTCTTGTCAAAGCTCAGCCAGGAGCGTGCGGTTGGGTGCAGACAAATGCTTCGATGTTTCGGAAAACAAGCAGGGAGCACCCTCATCTCCTGCAAGGGAGGTACATGTGGGACCTTGGTGGGCTCGCTGGCTTGTTTTAATTTAAAGCAAACCTCTCTCGAGGACCCTCAGCATCTGAGGCTGAAGTCAGAAAATTTAATGGGCCTTGGGGATAAATGCAGCAGTTGTTCCAGCTGCCATGCTTGTAAGGGACTCAATTCTGTCCTCTTCCCACGGGGCCTTACTGGAATTTAGCTGTACTGCATATTCAATTTATAGATTTCAGGATCATTTCACTGAAATCAAGATGATGGCAAAAACATTAGAATAGGTGTCAGATACTACTATGAAGCTGCCTTTGCATTTTCACAGTCGCCTTTCTAGTTGAGCCTATCCTGTCTGCTTTTCAGGCTTGTTTCCTAGTACTGATCTCTTCCTCCTCTTTGTAGAGAAAGTTTATTTATAGCTACACTGGTGACTCATTTTTCTACATAACACCTACCTGTTTTCTTTCCTTGTTCCTTCTTCCTTCAGCTCAGTTTATGGCAGTGCCTCCTCCACCTTCAGCCTCGTCGATATGCCAAGATAAGGCAGCTGATAGACACAATAGATTAGTTAAGTGCTGCCTTCAGATTATTCCAGTTTCAGTGCTTGCTTTGCCCAGAACTAACATTTCACCCAGAGAACTCTCTCCTTACACTGTCCATGGCAATGCAACAATTTTGCTTTTAAGTTATATTTGCACAGGCTACTGTGTGTATAGCAGTGGCATGTTTTCTGGCTTAAATAGGCAAAAATGGGTCACTGCTGCATCAGCTGGTGTCTGGAGAGGGACGAGGACTAATTGGGAGCCAAAAAAAAATGCTGATGACTGGAAACCTACCATCTCAGTCTGTGTGTCAGGAGCCTAATGTCTGAAACAAAAATAATGCAAAGAGGTAAATCTTACCATCTGCTGCCTTTCATTCGAGTGGTAAAGACGTCCCAAATAACAGGGAATGTCTATTGTAGGGTGAACAATGCAGAGCTTTTATTTGGTCTTACTGGAAGAAAACAGTCATGTTTGAAGGAGTAAAACAAGAATTCAGCTCTTTCCCCTTGACCCTGAAAGCTTTAGAGCTCGATTCCCTTTTCTTAATGAGGTTCCTCTCCGTCTCCTCACTTCCCCCGTGTGCTGACGTGCTGTTAACTGATAGTTGTGAGAAGCAGATCTGCTCTATTTGTGTGCCTCAAGCAGGTCCTGCCTGCTGCATCATGTTTATGGCCTATATCTCTGTTGCAAGGAGCAAGGCAAGACCTCCAGGCTTCCTCCCAGCGAGCAAAGCAGGGCTGGATTGCTGCAGGGCCTCTCGATCCCAGACAGGAAGCGTGGTTTGACAGGCGTTTTGGTTGGCTTCTTTTCAGTGAAATTCCCCACTCCTTCAGCCCCTGCAGTTTACTCCTAGGTCTTTGCAGGTGTGCAGACCTCGGTGTTCTGGGCCAGGCTTTCCTCGAGTGGTGGCCAGCACCTCCGAGATGTTAGTGAGAAAGGTTTATGCCAGTTCATTCAGAGCTTTAGATGTAGTGTAGACGCAACGGGGATAGAGATCTCATGGACGAGCTCAGGGAGGAGAATCCTGTACTTTACAATGCTTCAAATGCAGAAACCAAGACGACTTACAAATGTGTCTGAATCGAGCAGAATAGCAAATAAACGTGACTCTCTTCCGCAGACCCTTAGGAAGATGTCCCCGACGTCCTTGAAGCTGGCGCTCCGGCAGCTGCGGGAAGGCGCTTCCATGAGCCTGCGGGACGTCATGGCCATGGAATACCGGCTGAGCCAGGCCTGCATGGTGAGTGCCCCTTCTCCGGGCCGCGTCACGCGCCGCCTGCCCTGCCCTGGTGCCCCACTTGCTGCTTGCTTCTCCCTAGCTCCGTATTTTCAGGTGCAGATGAAAGAGATGATTTTATCCATGGATGGATAGGAATGGTACAGTCCTTTTGTTATGGAGCAATTTTACAGCCCTTTCAGGAGTGTTGTGATAGATTCCTCAAAAAGAGAGCCTTGAGTACTATTTATAGTAGAGGGTTGGATAACACATGAAACATTGATCCTTCCAGCAGAACAGCATTACTAACTGGATTATTTGAACAAATTCCTCACCAGACTTTCGTGTAGAAGCCTTATTAGTTCTGTCATGTTTAATGTGAGCGTTTTTCATTTTTCCTTAGTTTGAGCAAATGCTGATGTTCAATGTAAATATTTAGAAAAAAAAGTAGTGAGAATGCAGTGTTTCTAATGATGGGGTGTGGTAATGTCCGACTGCCTCCTTGCCATCTCTCTCCTGAAACTAATATTGCTGCTCCATTGCTAATGAAACATTCGTAGGTATTTAAGTGTTATATTTGCCTTTTTTTCAAGAAATAAATTTGTTTCTGGGATTCTGTTCAGCTGCAAGGTGTGCTAAGTGTGTAGAATATATCACAAAATTCCTGGAGAAGGAGAGGTGGCTCTTTACCTAAATCATTTCCAACCCTGTTAACATGCCCTGTAGCCCATCATGCAAAACTCCGATGTAGCGGGGCTGTGTGAAAGGCACCTGATGAGCCCCAGTGCACAAAGTGCAGAAGATGTGTCTGCATCTCAAGCAAGGGCATCTAGAACCCTCAGCAAGCGAGGCACAGGTAGGACGCGATGAGCAGCCCGTGTGGGATTTGATAGAAAGCTGAGAACTCCAAGCAGAATAAGTTGGCTAGCCCCTGGGGAAAGAAGGGCTGAACTGAATGTGTAATCATACTGCTCATTTCTGTATTTTTCAGAGAGGCCATGACTTCCACGAAGGCGTTCGAGCAGGTAAGGTGCACACCAGAAAGGTCACCTAGGGCCTTGCAGACTCGCCGTGGCAGCCCAGGGAGCACTCGTGAGCTTCCACTGGCTTTCCTTCTTGTATGGTAGAGGTTATTGTCTGCACTAACCGAGCGCAGCAGCTCCGTTGTTTCCTTTGTTTCGATGCCCTAGTATGTCTTTTGGCTGCCTGGTAGCAAGATAGTGAGAAGGTTGCACCAGTTCATGTTTAAAAAAAAAAAAAATTCAAAATATATTTGATGCTAATAGTAGCAAAGTTGAAAAGCAGCTGCATCCTTTGCGTATTCAGCTTTAATTTTACCCCATAGCTGGCTTAGCCAGCTACAAAATGCTTCAAGAAATCAAGCCTCCAATTCAACATGTGTCTGTATAGCAGGTTGGGAGAATTGAGACTACTTTTGACCATGTCCAAAGTATCTCTGTAAAAAGCTATCTTATTATAGGGAACTGTACCAGTTCTTTATGCCCTGTGCAGCACACGATGAAATAAAAGAGTCATTACCTTTTCCAAGGTACAAGACATCTGGAAGAAAAACACTTGCTGCGGGCAGGAAGACAAGACAAGACTTGGCTTTTAATCCATATATGAGATATATATATATATATAAGTATACACACACACATATATACAGCTCAAGTATTTGTTATCATTTCTCCCTTGCTTCTCACCCCTGCCTTCGTGCAGCAGTTTAAAATCCCCTGGAGCAGTGGATTGTGCACTCGACTGCCCTGTTGGAGCACTCACCATGAGCACTCCCTGTTGCAAAAATGGCCCAAGGATCACAGATGTGGTTTGTTTGTACAATATGGAGAAAGTTTCCAATTTTAAATAGTCTTTAGTCCTTGTTAGTACAGACTCCTTTGAAGTTCTGTTCAGTTCAGTCTGTTGAGACCTGCATGCTTTTTATAGTGCTAGAAAGGAGTAGTGGAAGGAAAGAGGCTTTATGAAGATGCCATTCCTAGGATATAGTGCCTACCACTGTACAGGCTTTCACAACTCACTATATGAGAAGTGACAAACCTCAAAGACTCAGAGTCAGATGAGACCAAATCCAGTTCTCAGTTTTGTAAGGCACAAAGTCATTAAACCATCTGTGAATGAGGCAGAGGCCAAAAACAAATTACTGTGTCACCATGTGACAAGTAAACTGCACAAACTGCTCATAAACTAAAAAGGCTGCAAGGAACAACAGCTGGGAAGCTTCCCTTTTGCATAGGATGATGTAGCAATGTTTTAAAGCAGTGCCAAATCTGACACAAGATAAGTTTAAATTTAGTTGTAATCCATTGGATAAAAAGAAGATCCAGCAGGGTGCTGAGCGTCCTGTCTTTGGCTGTCTTTCATAGAAAGTAAGATGCCCAAGCACTCTGCAGCCATCCTGAATAAAGTGGTAGAATGTAGTCAAGAATTTGAGAGTCAGCTGTTTGTTATCCCTGCCTACCAGGAAGGCTTTCAAGACATACAAAATTTGTTTTTCCCCCTAAATAAAACTAGAATCTAATTATCAGATATTGGTTGAGATTGTCTTTCAGCAGCAATGGCCTTAGGTCAGGTATTGCTTGTAATAACTTTTATCTGCTTCAAGATAATAATAGGTTTATTAGGTATGTTAGGAAAGTAATTCACTTAGGAGTGACCCATCAGGATTTTAAAACTTGACCTCAGGTTCACAGCAGGTTTTTTGCTTTTACCAGACCTGCTGGCAAACAGCCCTTCCCCATTGTGTGCTTGTGGCTGTCACTATTAAAAGCTAAAAACCCCTAAAGCCTGAAATACCCAGATCATGCTTTAACCACAGCACGGAGTCTTCTTTTAAAACAGTGAAGAGGCTCTTTGAAGGTTTAGGTGCCTGTATTTCGTCTTGATTTATAAAATAATACCCAGGCTCCAGGAACCGCGTGGCTCTGGGTAAATACCAACAGCTGGCATTTTTGTGCATTCATTGCGTGGTGCAAGAGGGGTGTTTTGCAGTCAGTGCTTCAACACATACAGTCTCCTGCAATCCCACCTGCGCAAGGGGACGAGGATGTCTCAGTTAGCCTGTTACCACCTCGAGGAGTCCGCCCGGGACCTGCGGAGCCCGGCCTGTGCCTGGAGGCGCCTTGCGCCCGTGACACCAACCTCAGCCGTGGGTCAGCCTGGGCCATGGGTCAACCTCGGCCATGGGTCATCCTCGGCCATGGGTCATCCTCGGCCATGGGTCAGCCTCGGCCATGGGTCAACCTCGGCCCTGGGTCAGCCTCAGCC